CTCTCTACTTCTGTGACTCCCTAGTCTGTGACTCCCTAGTCTGTTACTCCCTAGTCTGTGACTCCCTAGTCTGTGACTCCCTAGTCTGTTACTCCCTAGTCTGTGACTCCCTAGTCTGTTACTCCCTAGTCTGTGACTCCCTAGTCTGTGACTCCCTAGTCTGTGACTCCCTAGTCTGTGACTCCCCAACCTCTGACTTCCCAATCTATGATTCCAAAACCTATGACTCTTCTATGTGACTACACAATCTATGACTCTCAATCTGACTCCCCAAACTATGACTCCCCAGACTGGGACTACCCATCTATGACTACTTATCTGTGACTCTCCAATCTATGACTCCCCAACCTGTGACTCCCCAAAGCTTCAATTCCACAATCTGCTACTCGTATGGTTCTGACTCCCACCTTCGCTTCAAGGGAGATTATGTAGTGTGTGTGTGTGGGGGGGGGGGGTGTACGGACAGCACCGTGTTTCACCCGACCAAGCAACGCCCCTCCTTCTTACCATGTTTTCACCAATACCCAACATCTGATTATATTTGTACTTTAACACTTCCGCTGCATCGAATAAAACTACATCGTTTTTTCACAATTCCTCCAAAATAGTCTAGTCAACATCCATAATTACATGCACACACTAGACTCAGTCAATTCACATCCGCACTTTTAAAAATTCATCAACAAATCTCAAGTAATAAATACCCTGATTTGTCTGTGAAAAAGTAAAAACTAGATCAATCATGACATTGAAAGCCTACATGGCAATATCCCTACGTTTGAGAATTGGGCGGGGAAGGGGGGGGAGTAGAGATCGATATCTCTCACGGTCCTGTAATATTAGATCGGGGGGGGGGGGTGAATCTTGGCGGGGATCTATTTCATGATGGTCCAAGGAGACGTGGCCGGCGGCTATAGATTAGGCCTAGGTCGTAGTCGTTCATCTGTAACGAATCTAAAACGTGGAGTTTAGGACTTAGTGGAGGTCTAAGACTTGATGGTCAGTGGCTAGAAACTAGACCTAAAACTTGGAGTTTAGGACTGAGTAGAGGTCTAAGACTTGATGGTCAGTGGCTAGAAACTAGACCTAAAACTTGGAGTTTAGGACTGAGTAGAGGTCTAAGACTTGATGGTCAGTGGCTAGAAACTAGACCTAAATCTTGGAGTTTAGGACTGAGAAGAGGTCTAAGACTTGATGGTCAGTGGCTAGAAACTAGACCTAAAACTTGGAGTTTAGGACTGAGTAGAGGTCTAAGACTTGATGGTCAGTGGCTAGAAACTAGACCTAAAACTTGGAGTTTAGGACTGAGTAGAGGTCTAAGACTTGATGGTCAGTGGCTAGAAACTAGACCTAAATCTTGGAGTTTAGGACTGAGTAGAGGTCTAAGACTTGATGGTCAGTGGCTAGAAACTAGACCTAAAACTTGGAGTTTAGGACTGAGTAGAGGTCTAAGAGTTGATGGTCAGTGGCTAGAAACTAGACCTAAAACTTGGAGTTTAGGACTGAGTAGAGGTCTAAGACTTGATGGTCAGTGGCTAGAAACTAGACCTAAAACTTGGAGTTTAGGACTGAGTAGAGGTCTAAGACTTGATGGTCAGTGGCTAGAAACTAGACCTAAAACTTGGAGTTTAGGACTGAGTAGAGGTCTAAGACTTGATGGTCAGTGGCTAGAAACTAGACCTAAAACTTGGAGTTTAGGACTGAGTAGAGGTCTAAGACTTGATGGTCAGTGGCTAGAAACTAGACCTAAAACTTGGAGTTTAGGACTGAGTAGAGGTCTAAGACTTGATGGTCAGTGGCTAGAAACTAGACATAAATCTTGGAGTTTAGGACTGAGTGGGGGTCTAAAACTTGATGGTCAGTGGCTAGAAACTAGACCTAAATCTTGGAGTTTAGGACTGAGTGGGGGTCTAAAACTTGATGGTCAGTGGCTAGAAACTAGACCTAAAACTTGGAGTTTAGGACTGAGTGGAGGTCTAAGACGTGATGGTCAGTGGCTAGAAACTAGACCTAAAACTTGGAGTTTAGGACTGAGTGGAGGTCTAAGACGTGATAGTCAGTGGCTAGAAACTAGACCTAAATCTTGGAGTTTAGGACTGAGTGGGGGTCTAAGACTTGATGGTCAGTGGCTAGAAACTAGACCTAAAACTTGGAGTTTAGGACTGAGTGGGGGTCTAAGACTTCGCTAGAAACTAGACCTAAAACTAGATCGAGTGGGGGTCTAAGACTTTATGGTCAGTGGCTAGAAACTAGAACTAAAACTTGATGTTCGATGAAACTAGAGTTACCTTAAAACATGATCTTCGATGAAACTAGAGAAACTTAAAACTTGATATTTGATGATTAGAGAATAGAGGTAAACTTAAAACTTGGTTTTCGATTATTAGAAAATATAAAAACTTAAAACGATGTTCAAAGGCTAGAAACTAGAGGTACACTTAAAACTCGATGTCCAAGTACTATAAGTTTTAGTTAAATATTAACCTTGATAATGTTTGACTAAAAACAAGAGTTACATTTAAACACAGATGTTCAGTGATTAGAATTTTGAGAAATTTAAAACTTGAGGTTCAATGACTTAGTATTAGAGAAAATTACAGTTTTATGTTCAGTTATTATAAACTGGAGCACAATTTAAGCTTGATGATAATGTTGTATATTTATGAAGACTTAGCTTTGAATCTTATTTTCACTGCACAGCTGTCTGAAAATACAAGGTCAAGGGACATAACTTGATCCAAAAGTAAACACAACATCGTTGTGGAAATAAAATTTAAAAAAAAATTGGTGTTGGCACACCAAGTTTAATTTATTTGAATGAGTTTGCATTAAATATTAATTACACACCGCCTCAAACATTTCTTTTATAAGGGTTTGAAAATTAAAAAAAAAACTTGGTGAATTCTATGTTGGCACACCAAGTTTAATTTATTTGAATTGGTTTACATTAAATATCGACTACACATCATTCAACTAATTTCTTTATCTAGAGTGTGCTGCATTCTCAAAATCGTTGTTTTTTTAAATAAAGTCTAACTAATATTCATTGAAAAAAAAACATCTGGTTGATTTTCTTTTATTTCTCCTGTACTTTCCTTGTTAATTGTAATGTTGGAAGATATTTCCTCCAACATTATAAAATATTACGTGTCAACTTTTTATGCACCGTTGTCTCCAATTTCAGACTGCTTTTTTTTCTGTATTTGCTTCCATAGCTTTGCCCAGCCTAGAACAAATTACAGTGTTGTTTGATTTTTTTAATAGTTTTCTAGATAACTTTGTGTCCCCATCTTTCGAGCCTCATCACCTCGGGGACTCAAACTCGAGACTCTAGGGTTGGCAGACAGGAGCTTTACAGACCCGACCACGTCGACCTATAATCTATTAGCTGCTAAATCGCGTGACTAAAAAGCCTTGTATCATACAAACAATTTCAAATTCTATTTTTAATCAGAGCCCTCCAACGCATGTTTTTTTTTATAGTTAAGTTTATCCGTCATAACTAAAAGTGGTCAATATGGTGACGTAGAACGGAAGTGGTATCAATGTCATTCATGGCACAACAAAGGTTTTTCTGTTTGCTTTTTTTCTGCTTTTCTTTCATTGTAAAAATCTGTTCTTGACATACAGGTTGAGCTTGTGCCGTTAGCTAACTTGTAAAAAAAAAACAAAAAAAACACCACTTGAAAAATATTTTTGAAACCTTGCGCATGCGTCATTGTCCTTCTTTAGACGAAAGAAGCGACGTCATAGGTTAAATTTAGCTTTGCTTAACGGAGAGTGAGTATCGAAGACATGATAGTGCTATTTCGGCCGACGATCGAAAAATACAAAGGTGCTTATATCCTCTTAATTCCTGTATATGAAGTAAACACTGTGCTTATATCCTTTCTCGGATGAGCGGGAATAGGCACAGTGTTCATTTCCTCGACTGGATGTGAGAGGATATATGCACGTTGCTTATTTCCTCTACTTTAAAAATATATTGTTTGAGGAAAAACGAAAATACTGCTACATAAAATGTAGATAAATACGTCGGAAAATTCGTAACTCATACATTCATTTAAAATTTAAATAATTTGCTCTGGTAAAAATCATTACTCTAAAAAGAATGTGTAACTTTGCATAAAAGCTAAATATAGATATCCCTTGAGATGAAATATGAACGTTGTTTATTTCCTCTGTCTTTGGCAGAAATAAGCACTTCTTAAAGACAGACTACCGCCACATTTAAAAATAGACTGGAAATAAAGTTGGACATATTTAAAAAAAAATGATTGGTGTCTGATATAAGTAGAATTGGTTAAGTGTCTGATATAAGTAGAATTGGTTAAGTGTCTGATATAAGTAGAATTGGTTAAGTGTCTGATATACGTAGAATTAGTTAAGTGTCTGATATAAATAGAATTGGTTAAGTGTCTGATATAAGTAGAGTTGGTTAAGTGTCTGATATAAGTAGAATTGGTTAAGTGTCTGATATAAGTAGAATTGGTTAAGTGTCTGATATAAGTAGAATTGGTTAAGTGTCTGATATAAGTAGAATTGGTTAAGTGTCTTATATAAGTAGAATTGGTTAAGCTATACCAGCATGAAGCGGAAATTTATATTTTAAAACTACAAATTTTATAGCTATTCTTAGGTTAGCCGGGCACACTTCTTTTTATAATAGTAAATTACACCTAAACATATAACACTATCCTTTCAAATTGCGAAATCTTGTTCTAATTTCATGGATCATTTTTGAACATAAAACCTATTACAAATTTTGGTTATGGTTAATAGATTAAAACTAACTTCAGTATACAGACTTAACAAGAAATTCTTACGTCTGAAGGAATTATTATTGCTAATGTATCGATTACTATTCGTGCAGAAAAAAATACCGTATGTGTTCATGCTCTAAATTGGGGCATATTGAACAGGGCGAAGAATAATGGCCGCTCAACTCCAAAACGAGGCTGCACTCAACGTAATGAGCTGACGTCATTCTCTCCTTGCAGATCCTCAAGTCACGTGCTACCCTACTGGACAAGGACAACGCCCCAGATTTGATTCGAGGTTCGGATCCCAACCGCTCCATGGCCAGCATCAACGAGCTCAGTGACTATACGGAGACCGCAAGATATAATGTAAGTATTAGACTCGTTCTAGCTCTCGTGACTATACGGAGACGGCTAGATATAATGTAAGTATTAGACTCGTCATAGCTCTAGTGACTATACGGAGACGGCCAGATATAATGTAAGTACTAGACTCGTTCTAGCTCTAATGACTATACAGAGACGGCTAGATATAACGTAAGTACTGGTCTCGTTCTAGCGCTAGTGACTATACGGAGACGGACAGATATAATGTAAGTACTAGACTCGTTCTAGCGCTAGTGACTATACGGAGACGGACAGATATAATGTAAGTACTGGTGTCGTTCTAGCGCTAGTTTCTATACAGATAAGGCTTGATATAATTTACTAGCCTCGTTCTAGCGCTAGTTACTATACAGAGAAGGCTTGATACAATGTAAGTACTGGTCTCGTTCTAGCACTAATGACTATACGGAGACGGCTAGATATAATGTAAGTACTAGACTCGTTCTAGCGCTAGTGACTATACGGAGACGGCCAGATATAATGTAAGTACTGGTCTCGTTCTAGCGCTAGTGACTATACGGAGACGGACAGATATAATGTAAGTACTAGACTCGTTCTAGCGCTAGTGACTATACGGAGACGGACAGATATAATGTAAGTACTGGTGTCGTTCTAGCGCTAGTTTCTATACAGATAAGGCTTGATATAATTTACTAGCCTCGTTCTAGCGCTAGTTACTATACAGAGAAGGCTTGATACAATGTAAGCACTAGTTTAGTTCGAGCTACAACCATTGTCGAATACTAACTATAAACTCTAACCCTTGCCGTAAAAACGGTTCCCAGAAAACTGCACAAACGGAAAACTGCGCAAACAAGAAAAATGCTCAAATACAAATTAATTATATTAATGCACTTTAATTCCATCATATTTCGTGTAAAAATGTTTTATTAAGCAACAAAGTACTTGTGGTCGTTCTTTGTTAATGTCTATAAATGTTCGATTAAAGAAAATAAAAATGCCTTTACGCACTTTTGTTTTGCGCAAGTTTCCGTTGCGCAGTTTACGCTGCGCATCTTTCCGGTCACCCGTTAATCGAGTGGTCTACTCCTATCTCTACACCATAACGTTAAGTACAAGTCTAGTCCTAACTCTAATGGCACAATCGAAAATTTTATAGCGCTGTAGAATGAGAATTGTGATTAGAAACCCATTGTTCTTCTTCTTCGTCTTTTTCAACTGTTGGTGGAGCTATGGGCATAAACATTTTTCCATGCCTTTCTGTACCTTGCTATTGTTTTATTTATTTCAAACACTTCACATTGATTGTCATGACGTTTTAACATATCTCTACGTCAAGGGTTGTGTATCTTGTTTCTTGATTATAATGGATTCCGTATACCTTTCCTAGTTATGCTTGTTTCCGGTTTTCGTAACGTCTGGCGTACGATTCTACATCTTCTTTTCTAAATTTCTTGCTATAACGTGATATCTTTCCCATTTCCTTACTGTTACGGGCCAGTTGTAGGTTAGATTAGAATAGGTTAGAATAGTCTAGAACTAGGGGAGAGTGGCTGTGTGAGTGAAGTTCACCTTACTGTGTAGTTACCCTTGTATGTTTATGTATTGTAATCCCAAGGTCGAATGCGGGTATAAAAGGGCGAGTGAACGATTGTGTGGGGGCAGACAGCGGGTTAGTAGCGGTTAGGACGAGGGCTGTTATGGTACGCTTGAATGCATTGAGACGAATAAAAGGAGAGAAGTTATACACGAAGCGTTGTTGATGATTTGAAACGAACCCAGAACGTAACAACTGGTGGCCAGTATGAATCAAGTAGAAGCATAAACGTGATGCTGTCCTGTCGTTTGCCTGATGCTGTCCTGATGTTTGCCTGATGCTGTCCTGTCGTTTGCCTGATGCTGTCCTGTCGTTTGCCTGATGCTGTCCTGTCGTTTGCCTGATGCTGTCCTGATGTTTGCCGGTTGCTGTCCTGATGTTTGCCGGTTGCTGTCCTGATGTTTGCTGGTTGCTGTCCTGATGTTTGCCGGTTGCTGTCCTGATGTTTGCCGGTTGCTGTCCTGACGTTTTCCGGTTGCTGTCCTGATGCTTGCCGGTTGCTGTCCTGACGTTTGCCGGTTGCTGTCCTGACGTTTGCCGGTTGCTGTCCTGACGTTTGCCGGTTGCTGTCCTGACGTTTGCCGGTTGCTGTCCTGACGTTTGCCGGTTGCTGTCCTGACGTTTGCCGGTTGCTGTCCTGACGTTTGCCGGTTGCTGTCCTGACGTTTGCCGGTTGCTGTCCTGACGTTTGCCGGTTGCTGTCCTGGTGTTTGCCGGTTGCTGTCCTGACGTTTGTTGGATGCTGTGGGGATGCCGTTAGCCCGACGCTATAGCTGTTTGACAGAGTATGTAACAACATCGACTGTGAGTTGCAAATTTTTGTGATGTAGAATGGTTGAGATATGAGTAGGAGTCATAAACCAGTGTAGCCATAGAGCGCACAGGGTAGACTCAAATTTTTGTGATGTAGAGTGGTTGAGATATAGGTAGGAGTCGTAAACCAGTGTAGCCATAGAGCGCAGGTTGACTCAAATTTTTTGTGATGTAGAATGGTTGAGATATAGGTAGGAGTCGTAAACCAGTGTAGCCATAGAGCTCAGGTTGACTCAAATTTTTTGTGTGATGTAGAATGGTTGAGATATGGGTAGGAGTCGTAAACCAGTGTAGCCATAGAGCGCAGGTTGACTCAAATTTTTTGTGTGATGTAGAATGGTTGAGATATGGGTAGGAGTCATAAACCAGTGTAGCCATAGAGCGCAGGTTGACTCAAATTTTTAGTGATGTAGAATGGTTGAGATATGAGCAGGAGTCATAAACCAGTGTAGCCATAGAGCGCAGGTTGACTCAAATTTTGATGTAGAATGGTTGAGATATGGGTAGGAGTCATAAACCAGTGCAGCCAGAGAGCGCACAGGGTAGACTCAAAAAAATTGTGGTCTGGAAAGTTCTCAGATTCGGTACGATGCAACTGGCTGTGTATGATTTTTTTTTTGTTAGTTACACGGATGATTTGTGCTAGCTCGAAATTGTAGCAGTTCTGTATGTTGTCATTATGTATTTCATTGTATACAATCTGTCATATACATTCTTCGGAATGTATATTTTTAACTTGTCTACTAGTGTATGTGTATGAAAGGCTTTGTGTTTTTTATTTAGCTAGGATTTGTTAGTCAGTATTTGTAGTTATTACTACAAATACTTAGGTGGGGGGTAGTGTTACGGGCCAGTTGTAGGTTAGATTAGAATAGGTTAGAATAGTCTAGAACTAGGGGAGAGTGGCTGTGTGAGTGAAGTTCACCTTACTGTGTAGTTACCCTTGTATGTTTATGTATTGTAATCCCAAGGTCGAATGCGGGTATAAAAGGGCGAGTGAACGATTGTGTGGGGGCAGACAGCGGGTTAGTAGCGGTTAGGACGAGGGCTGTTATGGTACGCTTGAATGCATTGAGACGAATAAAAGGAGAGAAGTTATACACGAAGCGTTGTTGATGATTTGAAACGAACCCAGAACGTAACACTTACTATCATGTTGGGTACTTTGTTAAATCATTTTATATTTAAAATTCGCTGTAGGCAGCTATTTATAAAAGAGTGTTCTCTGGCGCTGTATCTTTTGTTTATCGCCAGATACGGAATCAATCTGAAATTACAAATATTTCTTTTCGTATTTTTATTATTTGACATTTATAACAGGCGGTTCTTATCGAAAACAGTAGTTAATCTACTAAATTTAACATAGGTTTACTCAGATTATATTTCGAATAAAATGATTCCTTTTAAGTTTATATAAATTTATAATAATGATAATAATCTATGAGGGTCTTTGTTAATTATTTAGTGATAAAAAAGGTTTTCTAATTGTTTCATGAATCACTTTCAGGGTGACCTTGTGCATGTTAAGGAACTTGACATCAAAGGTTTTGAGATGAGAAACAAACTACTCACCTTCATACGCCTGGTAGGTGACTGGCAAGTTGTATGTAAAATATACATACATACATACACACATGTATATATATATATATATATATATATATATATATATATATATATATATATTAAAGAAATAATATTGTGGCAATGTAAAACTCAAAAAATGTAAAACTAGCTTTACCATCATCGATGGCTCGATGTACATTCGGCATGGACTTAAGTTTTTTAAAAACTGCTGTGCAAGCAAATAATTACACACAAAAAAACCCCACCAGATTGGGCAAAAAACTGGAGACCTAAAAATACCGACTCTGTTCAGTTTCGTTTTTTTAAAATGACGTCACCCCCAAAGATTCCTTGCAGAATATGAGACTCTCGCAAGAAAAAGGATTTGATCAGCATAACTAGCCTCACACTATACAGACGGCTGGTTGTGAAAATTCACTTTTCCACCGCGACCAAAACAGGTTACTGGAGTAATGTCCCTTGCCTAACTCGCTTCCAAGAGTTTTGTACCCTAGCTCACGATCTAGATTATGGACGAGTATAAAGAGAGAACTAACGTTGTCACCAGATCAGGGCGATCGGTCAAACATATGGTACCATGACGTCACAGACACATTTAGCATAAGCGGCTTGCACCAGATAGGCAAATTGTGTAAAATATCAAGGGTCGGCGTGGTCGGATAGTAACCCGGAAGTCTCACTTTTCGATTCCGGGATTAAATATGTAGGACTCTCCTGAGCCCACACAGCTCTAATAAGTACCTGGCTCACGTTAGAGAAGGAAAGGCTGCTGGACATAGTAGTGACCACACTATCACTTCAAATATGAGTATATAGAAACTAACTCTACTACATGTGTCCCAGGGACCACTATGTTCTAAAGTCACTTTAGTCCTATATCAGTTGTATATGGTGATTATTTTCTTTTTCACCCACCAACTTATTATATATATATATATATATATATATATATATATATATATATATATATATTACTGAGAACTTGTTATAGCAAACCTCTTTACTTCAATTAGGAGAAGTACTTTATTAATTTTTTAAAATTCAAGCATGATCGCAATTTGTGTTTGAATTGATCCATTAAAACATTAATTAAACAATTAATGATTGGGCCTCTTTACCATATTGCAGTACCGATTTAATATTTGAATCATTGAGAATAACATAGTCGTGTTTCCAAATGTCTTCTGCGTATTAAAAAAAACAACAAAGAAGTGACTAATACCTTAACTAACAAAATACTGTAAATTCCTCACTAGTTTAGATTGACGTATAATAAGTTCCAGAAAAAAATATTACGTTCACATCAATATTGATGTTTACAATCTATTAGATTAAAAAAAAACAACGTACAAATTACTTCGAGTGTTAAATGCATACAACGCTCAGTCCGCCTCGTAATTTCTAAACACCGTTCTCGTTTTGCTGAGCATCCCCTAAGCTTATTTTCCTGTTGGTTTAAAAAAAAATTCAAAGACTCCCCAGTTAGTTAATTATGCTCGCGAATGGAACAACGTTGTTAGTGTTTAAGTGGGGACCGCCTTTTTCTTTGATTTTTTTTAATGGCTGCGTTGGGGGTGATTTAAATATAGCGTACATAATAACAATGTTCATGTGGAATAAGTTTTACAATATTGGGTCGTGGGATTTTTTAATTTTATACATTGGTTAATAGTGGTGAGCTCGGGTATGGGATTTTTTAAAAATATAGACAAGCAGTATTGGAATATAGGACTTCTAAAGATAGGTAAATAATGATAGAATATTGGCATTACAAGAAATGAAGCAGTTCTTTAAAGGAAAGTGTAGAGTGTTGTATACTGGTTAGTTCTCATCAAAGAAATAACTAGTTAAACCTTTTAAATTTGCTCTAATATACAAAGAGAGTTACAGTTTTAAATAAGTAATAAGAAATCCAAGATGATCTATTTAGTACTTTTTGAAATTAAGATATTAAATATTTTTGTTTTATTGTTAATGATAGATTATTGATTTTAGTTTCCATGAAAGATAACTCTGATTTTTCTCCATTCCCTCCCATGAAACCACTCGCCCACAGTGTCGAGACTTGCGCCACGAGAACTTGAACCCCTACGTGGGTTTCCTGGCCGACCCGATCCGCCCCTGTATAGTGATGGAGTACTGCAGCAGGGGGAGCCTCAATGATATCATCCACAACGAGGACTTCAAACTGGACTGGGACTTCAAGCTCTCGCTCCTCACTGACCTCGTTAGGGTGAGTTCTTGGGGGAGGGGGGGGGGGGCGTCCTCCTGAAGAGAGGGGGAAAGTCTTATTTTTCTGGCTGAAAGGTGGGGGGATGTCCTCGTTAATGAAGATAGGGAATATTAGTTTCTGCTAGGGGGTGGACCCTCGTTAATGAAGATGGGGGAGGGAGTCATACATTTATGCTGGAATAGGGGGCGTCCATGTTTGTGAAGAGAGTGGTATATTAGTTTGAGAGTGGGTACCTATTCAGGATCGGAGCGAGATGTTTGAGTAAATGAAGTTTAAATGAGGTGAATTTCAAATTAGTGATAGTGAATTGAAATTCAATGTTTGTGTTGTGTAAGATAGAAAGAAAAATGATAGTTAAATAAATTTTTTAGAAAATGTCATGAGTTATATTAGGGAAGCAAAAAGTAGGGACGTTTCTTGTTCCTTTTGTGTATGATAATTATGGGAAACAAATTTCTTTTTTTGGGAGGGGGGGGGGGTAAGAATAGACTGAACGAATTACTTGTTCGATCAAAGAAAGTCGTTCATTTTATCCGATTCCCCACTTCCAAATCCTCAATCGTCACACATCGTCACTTAGAGTCATACCCGCTTAAATTACATCATAATTCAGCCCGCACGTCAATTTTTCTTTTTTTTTAAATTGTAATTTTTTAAAATATTAATTAAGTATACGGGCGCCTTATTGGCGGAGGTAGAAGGAGCTTGCCATTTATACAAAGAACGGAAAGACAATATCTGCAGCACGAAAATAAAATAAAAACATAAGTAGCAATGACTGTTGTTTAATAAGATCAAAACTTACAACAATATATATATATATATATATATATATATATATATATATATATATATATATATATATATATATATATATATATATACATTGAAAAGAAAGTGGAACGATTATAAAAATTATATATATAAATTTCAAACTTGAAGTGTTGTTTTTAACCTTTAAATGCCTCCATACATTCCTGAAAGCAATCTGGAAACAACTTATGTGCTTTGAATTTCAAGTATCTATTTAAAAGCTTAAATGGCATGTAAAAAATTTGATCAATATAAAAAATCTAAATGTTTCTATATGTTCATTTTTTTTCTATATAAGGCTAAAATCAAATCCAAAAATACTTTATTAAAAATATATGTATGTTTTATTTTAAGTGTCGATTTCAACGTGTTGATGCTGCCGAAATGCGTGGATGGCAATTAAAATCAACTTAGTCTTGTACTGTTGAGTGTAAGGAATGATGTCTTGAGGGTAGCCATAAATATTAGAGTACGTCTATAATACAAGGGGGCGGGTTTAAACTTCAAAACGAGGCTTTAAAAAACGTGAAATTTATCTTTAAAAATTCAAGTGGTGCATTAAACCTTAGAGTACAGTTTCTATCGTGTAAAAATCTAGACATGTAACATAAGCTTCAATCATTGAATTGCTTGCTCGAGCGCCAGCCCTGTCAAGACATAGTGCAATGCAATTTTATAACGACTTCAGCCAAGATGTTATTTGATCATCTGAAAAAAAAAACAGTCACTGCATCAACAACTCTGAGGAGAGAAAAAATTTAAAACTAAAATCGATATCTAATTTAGATGTTTATACGAATGACGGCTCAAAAATATTCCACGTGAAGGCAGATAATAGGAAAAAAATTGTCTCTTGGTTAAAGATTTGAAATTTTATTTGAGAAAAATAAAGTATCTGCAATTCAAACTCTAAAAGTAAAGTGTATTACTGCTGATTTTTTTTTAAAATAAAAATGTTTTGATGTCATTAAATTGTATAAACAGCTTATCATTTATTTTCATGGTCGAGATTTTCAGTTAATGGTTGCTTTGTTTTTCAAATAACTTTTTGGTGTATTTTTCTTTCCTTTTTTTCATTTTTTCCTTTTTTCCTTTTTTCAAGACCCATTTAATATTTAGAAGTCAAGTTCACCTGTGAGAAAAAATGTTCAGGGCGGCCATTTTGTTTTTCAGGGCATTCGATACCTCCACTCATCCCCCCTCAAGTTCCACGGTCACATGACGTCGAAAAATTGCGTCATTGACAGCCGATTCGTGCTCAAAATTACAGATTACGGCGTTTCCGGTATCATGGAGAGATGCAAGGCGGTGCAACAGTTCGAGTCTCGAGGTACGTCCATTCAGCTTTTCTTCGAGTTAAAATGTATGTCAAAAACTTGATAAGTAAATAAAGCATGCATTGTATTTTTAAAGTAATAAGATTCATAATGTTGAATACAGTTATAATCAATCATCAATAGCGTATACAAACTATTCGACTAAATTACTCACTCATGAAGTCGCTATATAAATTTTAAAATGGTGTGATCTAGCGACCGAAATTAAAATCATACTTTTTTTTTATCACAATCTCTTTTTTTAATTAAAAAAAATAAAAACCTCACATTTTAAAGCTAACTTGATGTTTAGCCGTCGATTTTACAGCAAGTAAACACATTGTGGCATTCTTATGACGTTGTTTAAAATAATTAGTCATTCTAAGCAGTGACGTAAGAGGATTTTTATATATGTGTATAATGCCTATATATACGTCGTATATGTATATACATCAGTCCTTAGGGGAGAATTTTTAACGCCCCTGTGGCACCCCCTGTCTACGCCACTGATTTTAAAGCAGCGCTGTATTACGCCTAAGTATTATAAAATTTTCAAAGCTACTATACGTTCTCTTCTAAACTGATTACCACTTAATAAAATGAATTTTTCGAGGACATATGGTTTAAGTTTAAAAAAAAAATCATCTAAAGTCACAGACTACATATCAGTCAAAAGTGTAATGAATCCCCTGATTCTTAGGAAGTTTTAAGCCACTGGAACGACGGGAGGGTGTGTGTGTCTGTGTGTGTGTGTGAGGGGGGGGGGGGGGTGCATCGTGAACGAGCGTTACAGCGCGACTACTAGCCCGGATGTACGAAGTCCATTTTACACGTCAGTCCATACGTTGTTCTTGAGTTCATTCAGCAGTAATAGGTACCTTTATTAAATTGGAGAGCGTACAGATAGACGGGTATGAAAGAGTTATTGAACATATATTTTATTCATTGGTTCCCAGAACTTAGGAAATAGGGTTCGAGTTCGCGTAATAATTTGAGGCATATTTAACATTGAATAAAATATATGTTCAAAGATTTGTTTTAAAGAGTTATCGAACAGATATTTTATTCAATGTTAAATATGCATCAACTTAATACACGAACTCGAACCCTATTTCCTGAGTTTAGAGAACCAATGATTAAAAAAATGTTCTAGATTTGAACTCACTGCTCACAACTCTAAAGTCAGGCCTGCATGAATGTGCTATCACGTGCATGCTTATAGTATCCCCCGACCTGGTTGTGAGAATGCAATGATGGATAAAACGTACGTCCTGCCACTGAGCCAACTCAGCATGAAAAAAATCCCGGCAATTTCATAATGCGATGATCAAATGGAACCGCGTTTATTGCTTCCCTAGTTATCGGATGAAAAAAAATAAATAAACCAATAAATGTTGTACATCGGCCGCTCACGCAATTTTTGTGGCCTTCACCTTGGCATGGAAAATGGAGACCCGTCTTTTTGACAGCTTCAGGTCGATCTTGGTGTGTGGGCTGAATTGTTTTTTTGTTAGAGGTTTAAATCGGGTGCAGGTGAATAAGGGATCGACCCTAAGGGATCGACCCTAAGGGATCGACCCTAAGGGATCGACCTTTGTATAGTAGATTAGAGGGGTGATAAAAGTGTAAGGACTTGAACCGATTTTAGCAGCAAAACTGGTTGGCCAACACATAAGATAGCAAAAAAAAAAAAAAAAAAAAAACTTCCACTAAGAAATATTTTATTAGATTTTTAAAGTAGTTTTTACCGATTTTTAATTCCGGTATAAAAATATATTCAATGCATTAGTATTATTTGTTGTTGATTTTTCCGAAACCCTTAAGTCCAAAAATGGTTTTAAAAATTCTGCCATTTCAATTGTATTTCAATATCAGAAGTAGTATCACTGTACAAATACACGTTTTTTTTTTTTTTTAAATACGGCTTTCATAGCAGTAGAAAAAAAAATCACACTAAAGGTCAAGGTCAAAGGTTACAAAAAATGAATGTTTTCGCTCGGACTCATTAGCCGGTGCCAGTTTTTCATCGCTATCAGTGTTAGACGAGCATCCATTGGTCGATATCAGTGTTAGACGAGCATCCATTGGTCGATATCAGTGTTAGACGAGCATCCATTGGTCGATATCAATGTTAGACGAGCATCCATTGATCGATATCAGTGTTAGACGAGCATCCGTTGGTCGATATCAGTGTTAGACGAGCATCCGTTGGTCGATATCAGTGTTAGACGAGCAGAGCATCCATTGGTCGATATCAGTGTTAGACGAGCATCCATTGATCGATATCAGTGTTAGACGAGCATCCATTGGTCGATATCAGTGTTAGACGAGCATCCATTGGTCGATATCAGTGTTAGACGAGCATCTATTGGTCGATATCAGTGTTAGACGAGCATCCATTGGTCGATATCAGTGTTAGACGAGCATCCATTGGTCGATATCAGTGTTAGACGAGCATCCATTGGTCGATATCAGTGTTAGACGAGCATCCATTGGTCGATATCAGTGTTAGACGAGCATCCATTGGTCGATATCAGTGTTAGACGAGCATCCATTGATCGATATCAGTGTTAGATGAGCATCCATTGGTCGATATCAGTGTCAGACGAGCATCCATTGGTCGATATCAGTGTTAGACGAGCATCCATTGGTCGATATCAGTGTTAGACGAGCATCCATTGGGTCACATGACTCCCGTCCGTTGTTTGTGGACCAACGTCAACAAAACCGCCGGGACTTGCGCAGACATTTCCAATGAATTACATCAACATCACTGATGCTTTATCGTGCGGCATCTAGCTTCTCCTAATTGAAAAAAAAGTAAAAAAAAACACAAACTTCAACAAACGAATCAATCCTGTAATGACCTTAATTACAATCCACCACGCGACGGAATATAACGACAGACAGACAGACAGACGAAAAACCGCAAGCGATAAAATGTAAAATGTTGCGCCCTTAATTTAATGAAATTCCATTATCTGCCATTAATTAAATTCCATTATCCGCCATCAGATAAATTCTATTATCTGACAGATTTGTTGTGGTCTGCGCCAGAGCTTCTGAGGGATAGCGCTCTGCTACAGAGGGGGACGGACAAGGGGGACCTGTACGCCATGTCCATCATATTCCAAGAGGTGGCATTGAGAACTGAGCCCTATAGCACTACAGGTCTCACACCTGATGGTAGGTTATTAGTGTAGATGTTAAATGTAAGGTTTTTTGTGTAGATGTAAAATGTAAGGTCTGTAGTGTAGTTGTTAAATGTAGTGTCTGTAGTGTTGATGTAAAATGTAAGGTCTTTGGTGTAGATGTGAAATCTAAGATCTTTGGTGGTGTCAAATATAAGGTCTTTGGTATAGATGTCAAATGTAGGGTATGTGGTGTAGATGTAAAATGTAAAGTCTTTGGTGTAGTCAAATGTAAGGTCTTTGGTATAGATGTCAAATGTAAGATTGATCATGGCGTAGCGAGGGGGGGGGGGGGCGGGGAGTGCGGACCGCACCGGGTGACACCATTTAGGGGGGTGAAACCAAGGCAAAAAATAGCAAAATATATAGAGAAAAACTTGAGGGGGGGTGCAAATTGAAAGTTTGAAGGGGGGTGCAAATCGAAAACTTGATGGGGGGGGGGGGGTGCAAATCGAAAGTTTGAGGAGGGGTGCAAATCAAAAATTTGAAAGTGTGTCCCCGGGGAAGGGTCGCTACGCCTCTGGGGGGGGTGACACCATTAAGTGCCGCACCGGGTGACACCCGACCTCGCTACGCCACTGAGATTGATGAGTCAAATATAGTAAAGTAACATCGACATGAGTTGTGTATTGAAAGGTCGAAAATAAAAACTTTTGTTATGTATCGTAGGGTCTATAACATCGACGCGTGTTGTTTAACGAAAGGTCCCTAACATTGAAAGGGTTTACGATTTTAAATCTATTGATGTATCAGAAAGCTGTATATTTGTCTAGTTTGTCTATAGCGTAGCCTAGAGAATTCCTGTTAATTACAGTGTATCTTACATATTACAACTAGTGCGCTGTGTACATATAGTGCACAGACGCCTAGTGTGGTATGTACATACTTTTGAATACAATGTACACTCTTTAGTATTCGCGATCTTACGAAGCTTCTGATTTACTCAATATTCACCGAATTTCGGATAGAGAGATTGTTCAAGATATAAGACGAATAAGGGTAACAAGGAGACAGAGTCAAGTTGTGTTTTAAAAAAAAAACAGTAATTGAACCATCACAACACTGCTGAACCTAAGCATATTAGATTATATTCTGAAAATGACACGCACTAAACATTTCAGCATCGGACAATGTCCAAATAAGCTTGACAAAAGTTCAGCTTCCTACTTGTCTGTACTTTTATACTCAGTCTAAAATTTTATAATAATGTACAGCACTAGACTAGATTTAAGAAAACAAACAGAAACCAACTCGTTATACACTATTTTATCTTTTTCTCCCTCCAAAAATACCTCCCAAAATACCGGTCTAACTCTAATATCACAAGTACACAGTCTCTCTCACCCCAAAACCTTCCTACACAAAATTTGTGCAATTTTTCATTTTGCTGAGCAATTTCCATATCCCCGTCAGCGGGAGAAAATCTCTGCTGCTAACACAGGATGAGAGAAAAATTGCCCGACCCCCCCCCTTTCCGTACCCACTCCCAGCTTTTAGCCAATCGGGTTGCGTTAATGTCAGATGCAGTGTCTGATGTCCACATTGCCAGGTTGGGTCAGTGCCGTCACCTGCCAGGGACATTTTGTATTTTTTTTACATAACTGCCCTGGCAAGATGGCGCCAGTGTTTCTTCCAGACTTTTTTCTCCGGGGGGGGGGGGGGGGCACTTGAAATTTTCTGGGGTGGGGGGCGGTCAACATTTTCGGGGGGGGGGGGGGCGGCGGATACTAGTAAAAGTGTATGTTTACTATATAAAATCCATCTCGTTCGGGGATACCTGAAAGAAACTCTGGATGGCGCACAGGCTTTGGTTATAGAATGTTAGACAATGCGAGTAGCGCATTTTAAATTTACAAGCATGTTCCCGATCATGCCCAGACTTTGGTTATAGAATATTAGACAATGCTAGTAGCGCATTTTAAATTTACAAGCATGTTCCCGATCATGCCAAGACTTGGGTTATAGAATGTTACACAATGCTAGTAGCGCATTTTAAATTTACAATGTTCCCGATCAAGCCCAGACTTTGGTTATAGAATGTTAAAAAATCCTGGCAACTTTATTTTTACATTTCTGTCCTGGCAAGATGGCGCCCAGACTTTGGCTATAGGGCTGGTAAGTAGGTCAACAACCAGTTCTACGGCTCAATAAAATCTGCTTGAGCCATATAACTGTTAATTGACCTACTTACCAGCCCTATAGAATGTTACACAATGTGGTAGCGCATGTTATTTTAATTTTTCAATGTCTGTTCCCGATACTGCCCAGTATTTGGTTATGGAATGTTAAAAAATACTGGCAACTTTATGTTTACATTTCTGTCTAGGAAAGATGTTGTATTACTATTGTTCCAGGATTTACACAAATACTGACAACGCATTTTATTTATATTTTACCTTTTGTCCCCTGACAGATATAAGGTTTAGCTATGGAATGTTAAAAGAATGCTGGCAGCATTTTTATTTTTATTTTCGCCCACTCAAGTTGTTGTCCACACTTTGGTTATAGAATGTTAAAAAATCCTGGCAACTTTACTTTCTCATTAAATGTCAAGGCAAGATTTGTCCATACTTTGGTTGCCTGGCAACATTACAGTCCTAGGACTTATATTATTTCAATATACAAATTGTATAATTAAGATGGTATTCACAAAGGGTGGACTAATTGTACTCTACGGTACATCGAGGCTTATAGAACTTTTACACAGACAACACCATTCAAACAATCGTTAACAAAATGAAAAGGACTTTAGAAGCTTACACGTAATGCAAAAAAAAAAAAAAATGAATGAATTTAACCGCAAATACGCCGAGCTAAGTACAGAAAATAAAATGTAACAATTATTTTTTTAACGATTAACTTCATGAATTGCATGTCGTAAAAAATAATTAAATGAACACAATTACAAATTGAATCTGTCCTGCGCATTCAGGTAACGAGATTTAAATTTGAACAGGGATATTTCAAAAAAGAAGGACGCGCTAAAGTGCAGGTCGTTGATCATGGTAGGATAAAAGAGTTGTCGTTCATTTTATGTAGGCGGGTGAGGACGTTGAAATAATGCATTGTGCAGGAAATTAATGCAAATACGTGGTTGCAGTGTGAGAAATGACGATCACGTAAGGACAATTTAGGGTAATGAAAAGAAAATGTAGGAGAGTTAATTAAGTTACACATGATTGGCCTGTCGGTACTTTGATGGTTGATGTTAGTTTTGTGACCTACGTAGTTTAAAGCGTTAGGTCGCGATATACCAGGGGGTTCTGGGCTATTCTGTTGAGTCAGGAAACGAATGTAAACTAAGAACTTAAGTTATTGTCTGTGGTTAAGTTTGATCGTGTCGAGTTTTCGAGTTTACTATAGTTGATCTTATCAGAAGGTGTTTATTACTCAGTGCAAATGTCCAAAGAAATATATAGAAGATATATATATATATATATATATATATATATATATATATATATAATATATGTGTGTGTGCGTGTATAATTGCCAACTCTGAGACCTATAGTTCACAGGATCATCTAGCGTGTTTTGCATAGATAACCATTCACGATTTCTCGGCCTTTTCATTACCGTCCTTTTATTGGCCCACCCCCGCCTTTTCCCAATCGGATTAAGATAAAAATAGCTCAGCCGGTAAAAATAACCACGCCTTTTCCCAGTTCTCTCCCCGTGAGTGGGGTCCACATATTCCTGCTGATGCTGAGGTATTCACTCACAAAGGTCAAAGGTCGGACCCTGACAATGTGTGTTTCTGATGTAGAAAATTAAAGAAACAGTCCATCTTTATCAACGTACATGTATCATTAAACAGTACAGTTGGTCCTGAGATCGCGACAATCAAAACAGATGGCCTGTGGTATTATTGAAAGAGCTAGTTGTAAGCAGGAGTGGACTATCTGTGTTTATCAAATTTTAAAAAGGGCCCCCCAATCTTAGATTGAAATTTTCATGGTGTATTTTTTCTGCATCATACCTGAATTTTACGCCTCGTATAAAGATAAAGGAACGCTCATCGGGATTTCTCATGGGGGCCCACCGGGATTATCCCTGGGGGCCCACCGGGATTATCCCTGGGGGCCCACCGGGATTATTCCCTGTAGACCGGCAGGCCAGTCCATTCCTGGTTATGTAGATGTTGTGACCTACGGTCTTGCGACAGACAAAAAAAAATAAGTTCATTCCATTTCTTACTTTCTTCATTCTTCTTAGATAAAACAAATAAATGTCTTTTCCCCGTTTTTTTTTCAGTTTTATTAGTATTCGTTTCTTTCTTAGGAAATCAAGTATAGTATAAAACCCCGTTCTAAAGAATATGTTTCTATAGATGCAAGAATAGAAAAAACTTTTTTGAAACTGACAAATTAAAGACAGAATCTGTGACGAATCGAAAACGCCGTCTATTTATAATGTTTGTAAAACTACCGTGTGTACAAGGAGAATAAGAATGATGTGTATGTGAAACGGTGTATTTGTGGGTGTGTGTAAGTTTTGTTGTTGTGAGAGAGATGGAGGGGGTGTTGGGGGGTGAGACACAGACGATACTCGTGTCTTTCCTGTCTTAAGTTATGATTTGTCTCGTTTTTTAACATCTCCAATCCATTTCTTTAAAAAAAATCACTTCTGTCAAAATACAAGTTTAGGTGAACTGTGATATAATTCATTTCTTTCACTTTGTTACGTAAGTCTAAATAAATTGTCTACAGTCCAGTGATCTATTCAAGTCTAAACATTTCTAACGATAAATTAGTTTTTATTTTCTTGTAAACACCCACGTAAAGTACGGTCGAACAGAAGTCATAGAAGTTCACGAGGCCCCCAGTGAAGTCTCAAATGTCCTTCGTTTAAACCAGAACAACACAGTTACATAGAATACCCTAAAAGTCATCGAGTCCAAATCATTAGTTTAAAAACCCAGAACCAAAGTGATATAACTTGCCTCACGTTCTTATATTTTCTAGATCAGATACATCATTTTGTGAATGTAAACGA